GGCCATTTGACAGCTGATATGGGATGCTGTAAATCAACAGGCTTCCTGGGCACCCCCCCCAGCCATTACAGTTTTCTGATGTCTGATATGATTGCCTGTGTTTTTGTCCACACCTCCTGAAGATGTCAGGTGAAACCCTCCTGTTGATCCTGCTGTGAAAGCAGGAGGCGTTTAGCTGACCAGGTCTGAGAAGCTCCTAAACAAGCTGCTTTAAATCATATCTAGCAGCAAACTGCCAGCTCATGCGGATCTGAGGACTGTGGTCCCTTAGTTTTGTCATGTCAGGATTATATTGCGTGGGGAGAGGAGAGGAGAGGAAATGAGTGGCTGAAAATAAAAGCAATCACTGGTGCTGCTCGGCCCTCCGCTCAACCACGACATGCAAAAACAGCCGTATCCCTCTTGCAGCAGCTGCGGCAGCTACTGCCCTCCTGCCTGCTCTGTGCAGCAGCAGCACATGGCAGGTTGGACGTGATAATGGTCCTGCGAACACATGTCGCTTGGCAGCAGCAACCCTGCAAGGGAGATGCAGCCTGGAGAGCCCTCGTTGCCCCTGCTGCTTGTGCAAGGGAGACGGGTCGCTCGGAGTGGGGCCTCTGCTACCGTGGGTGCCACCGCAGGCTGCGGAGAGGCTCTCCCTACCTCTCCAATCCTTACAGGACTGTCACTTAAAGGAAAGGGCCTTTTCTCCTTTGGGTGACATGAGCTGCCAAAGACATCTGTGGTGCTGAGCTGTAAAACGCCCTGCCCTGGCATCATTGCTTTGGTTTTGCTGGATCTAGCAAGCAGGGTGGGGAAGAGAAAAGCCCCAATAAAGAAAGCACTCAAGGAGCTGCAGGCGCAAGTCGGAGCCATGCTTTTCTCGTGAGATGTGTTGTGATATTCGGGGCCCGAGAGAGGCAGTCGGGCCCTTTCTTTAGGTTCAGGCTCGTGTGGGCATTCATAGCCTGACTCTCTGAAGCCAGGTGTCTGCTAACTTTCCTTCTCCAGGTAGCAAGGTTTATACCATTTTTTCCATTTATTATTTATTATATTATATTATTATATTTACACCATTATTTCATTTTTTTGTTTTTTTGGAAATGGGGGATCTCCACATGTTGGTCTGGATGCGAACTCAAAAGAATTTCCTGTCATATCTCAGCTGTATTAACCATAACTATTCTGGCCAAGTATAGGTAACTATTCAGAGACAGGCTTGTCGGAAAACTGTATCATAGTTTCTCTTTTCTGAGTGGTCTGTTGTTAAATCATGGCACATAAATAAAGGATTTTTGCTACGGCAACAAGAATTGAGTGGTTCAACCAAATTCCCAAAAAGCCTTGCCTTATTCTTCGCAGCATGGCTGTGATTGCTGGGCAGAGGATTAACGTGCGGGTGCCCGTTTTGGGGCTGGGCTCTGGTTACGTGGCACAGTTCTGGGTAAAGTTTTCAGCTGAGCAAATAGTGACCAATCCCTGCAAACAGGCACAGCTGAAGGGTGCAGAACTTCTCCTTTCTGCTGCTGGCAGCTGCCATCAGAGCAGTCACAGCAGAGACACAAGGAGCAGCAGCTACTGGCTGCCCTGGAGCGCTTGGCTTCTTGGAACACTCTTTTGCCCCAAAGCAAAAGCAGGGTTGTCTTTTGTGCTCCCGCAAAGGCTTGTATGGCTGGGCAAGAGGCTGCCTGTCTTCTGACATGGTTTCTGTGCCATCACGAGGCCTTGGATTTTTTTTTTTCTTTAGATAGATTTGGCCCAAATCTGCCTGTGTTCCGTAGGCACTGCTCTGAGTGCGCTCAGTGCCACCCAGAGGGTGTCTCAAGACAGTTACACAGACCCACGTGGCATCTAGCTTTATCCGGGCCTTGCTCTCCATCTTTTGGATCAAGTAGAGCTGCTTTGTGCTTTCCCGTCCTTCCCCGAACGGCCTCGTGGTGGAGCAGGACGGCTGGCATGGCTGGCTGCCCGCCTCGGGCTTCAATCCTGCAAAGGCAGCTCGTGGAGTTCCTCAGGGCGCTGAGCCGTCCTGAGGCAGGGCCGTCCTGAGGGAGGGCAGATTGATGGCTGCTCCCATTTGCTTTGCCGGTGTGGCCGTGAAAGGTTTATGGCCCCAGCCTCTCCCGCCCGGCAGCTCCAGGGCCCTGCCTGGCTCTACGAGGGGTTTCCATGCGGGAATCTTGCACCATTGCAGCCCTGCGCCAAGCAGGGTGGCAGCCCTGCAGCTGGCCCCGCTCTGGTTGAGGGTTGCTTGTCTCTCTGTCTGTCTTTGCTTCTTTCTTTTTGTGGCTTCAGTAGTGCCTTGTGCAAGGCTGTGGCCTCTCCGCTGCAGGTATTCATCCAGCCTCGTTGGAAGAGCAGCTCTGGAGGACACCAAGCTTGGCTCCTGCGAGCGAGTGTTGTCTGACCCGAATCGGCCGTGGGCACCTGGGAGCTGCTTTAATCCCGGGCTTGGGCTGGGCTCTCCTCTGGGCACCGGGTAGGAGGGTCTCAGCCTGCTGGTTGCTATTACTTTCTACTCCCTTTTCAGCTTCACTCCCTGGATGGGGCTGTTTGCACTTCTTGTGCCGCTTGCAGCTTAGGGGTTTGGCCTGGGCTGGTTTTTTTTGTGTGTGTGTGTGTGTGTGTGTGTGTGTGTGTGTGTGTGTGTGAGAAAATGCTGCAGGGAGAGCAAGAGGGAGCACGATGCCAACCTGCTTCCCTGTAGGATCGTATCTTATTCCAATGTGTGTGGGTAGAGCCCCCTGGTGTGTGCTGTTTAACCTGTGACTGGTGCTGCTGCTGGCACTTCTTGGTTGTCCTTTAGGCTCAAAGTCATCTGAGTCCCTTCCTGCTAGTAGAGAATTGAGAAAACTCAGTTTTATCTCCCAAGGTTAAATTTTTGGAAACTGGATACGTCTGTCCTGTTGCCCTTATTTTCCACGTTCAGAAGCAGCTTTAGCCACGTATTTCTCATCTTTCAGAGTGTGTTGTTGGTGCCTGCAGGCCAGGTCTGCGCTGTGCCTGGGCTCTGGGAGAGCTCCGGAGCTTCCCGAGTCCTGGCGCTTCCAGGCTGGAGGCCCTCGCGCCTGGCAGTGACGGTTGGCACTGGAGCACAGATGGTCATGTTGAACACTGGCTGCCTGCTCCGCTGCCTGGCTCGGATCAGGAAGCATCTAGGTCAGCAACAGCAGTAAGAAATTCCCGGGAAATGGCACACAGGCTATTCCAGGCCTTTTCTCTAAAGCAAAATCACTGCCTTCAGCACGTAATGGGGGTGAAGGTAGAGTAGCCCTGGCTGGGACCGGAGCAGCAAACAGGGAAGTGCCGCCAGTTGCCCTCATTGCCGTTTCTATCCCTCCTTCTCTTAGTAGCATGGGCAGAGGAGCCATCCTGTGTCAGAAGCTCATCCTGGCCTCGCACAGAATAGAACATAGCCCCCGAAGAGGTATTTGCAGTGTGGAGGAACCATTAGGTCCTTGCTTGTCACCCAGCCTTGAACCAAGTCCCCTGTGTTGCTTTTTGGGTGAGGAGGAGTGAAATGCATGGCACGTGCTTGCTCAACAGCCTGCTTAAGACCACGTGCTAGTCTGGAGCCTGCTGCACAGTCTGTGTGTGAGGGGAACTGCACGCCTGGCACATCTGGCTGCACTTCGTTCTTGGCAGTTACCAGGTGAGTTTAGAAGAGCTCTCCTGAGCCAGCAGCCTTGTGTCACCTGTCACCGGCACCATGTCCTTTTAATCCTGAACATAACTGTGTTAGCTCAATTGTAGTCAAGAGATTACAAAAGTAAAGGAGCTGCTGCTCCTGAAACTTCATCTGCTGTCAGCTACATGCTTCCCTATTTTTGGCTTACATTTATTCTTGGCAAGCTTATTCTCCTTGTTTGCCTGTGTTGCATGCTGGCATCAGCAGCTCTTCTCTGATTCTTGGGCTTGTTTTCTTGACATACTTATAAAGCACCATTATATTTTATTTCAACCTTTATTCTGCTAGCATAAATAAGGCAAACCTCACCCCCGTCTGTGCTGTGTTTGGGCTTCCTGGTACAGCAAAGACATTAACAAACTGGAACAAGTTCAGGTGAGGCCACCAAAAGTGGTCTGGGGCTGGAGCAAATAGCATATGAGGAGACACTGCCGGAGCTGGTGGTTCAGCCTGGAGAAGTGTGTGTGTGTTTATCTCTTTGCTGTCTTAGCTACTCACTTGATGTTGCAGAAGATGGAGATGGGCTTTTCCTGGAGGTGCAGGCAAGTGCTTGGTCTTGAACATTATCCCATTTCAAGTGTTCTGCTTTCCAGTTTTCTGAATAAGCCATAAAATATCCCATTTCTTCCGTTGACTGAGTCCCATGTTGCAGTCATCTTCATTTTTCTGAAGCTCCCACTTACTTTGCAAAGGTCATTAGTGAGAATGTGAAATAAAACTGACTTCAAAGCAGAACCTTAAAGATCTCCATGTTGTTTTATTTTCCATCTTTAAAGCTACCTGCTGCCATCTCTCCTTTAGCAGCTTCTCTATTTACTACTGGTATTAATCTCTGTTTTTAATCTAATTTAACTAGTTTATGTCATGGTATTGTCCTAAAAATGTAGTCTACTGGCTGAGGTTGACTGTGTTTTTATTGCCTAGCATATGAGGACTCAAATGAGTTTGCAGGTGTCAGAGATGCCAGCTGCCCAGCTTGGGGATGATGCCCTTTTCTCCTTGGCAACACAGGCTGCAGCTGGGGGATGCGCAGGCACCTCCTCCTCACTGCCGGGTATCCCAGTACCAGGGATGGTGGCAAAGTGTGTGCAAGAGCACAAAAGCCTAGAGGGACTCTAGACCTCTGAGCCCCCTGACTCCATCCCATCTGTTTGGCTACCTCTGTGCCGGGGGGGGGGAAGCTGCAGGGCCCGCGGTGGGAGGCGTGGAGAGTGCTCAGCTGCATCCATGCCGCAGGAGGGGCTCTCTGCCAGCAGCATTCGAATCGGGGCCAGCGTGGGGATCTGTGGTTCCTAGTGCTGCTTTCTAACAATTCTCCTTTGGTTTTGACTAGATGAAGATCTCTTTCAATGAGACAAGTTTGCAGACCATGTTTGAGTACCCTTCAGAGAGCTCACTAGCAGAAGAGGAGGAGGAGGAAGGACATGCTTCTGAAACAGAGGAAGACAAGAATTGCACCTTTTTCATTCCATGCCCAAATAGCACTTTGAATCCCAGTATACCCAACTCAGGTGAGCCGGGCACCGGTGTTGGCACCGTGGGGTTTCTGGTGAGGAATTGCACTGTCCAAATGCTCTGTAACCCCTTGCGGGGGTTCCACACAGTTGGAAATACTCATGGAGGTGATCTATGCCCCGACATCTGAAATGGGGCTTGAACTGGAGCGGGACTTAAACTGGACCAGGGCAATCATGGGCCTCTTTGGCCTGAAATGTTACAGGTTCAAAACTTAAATATACACTTTGCACTACACACTTGGTTGACTAACCAAGACGGTAGGTGCTGTCATGACATCTGCATGACAACCTTCGCCACAGGTTGCCCCATCCCTGCCCTCTTGTCCCATTCCTACCAGGACCATGGCCTTTCCTCCTTTTGGAGCGCTAGGGAATACTCATATCAGTTGTGTCCTTCCAGCAGATTTATCCAGCTACACCCCAAAGCACTCCGTGAAGTTCAGCGACTGGCAAGAGCAGAAGTACGAGGAGGTGCCCAACTCAGAGGGACACCTCCGAAAAGAAGCTGATTCTGTTGGAAACCAAGTCATGGTGAGACTGTAAAGCAGTTCTTGGCTTCGTCTTGTTGTGCTCTCATGTGGCTTTTGGGTTAGTCTGGCCAGTGGATGAAATGGCATGTGATTTCCACTGAACTCCTATGTTTTTGTGAGCATTAGCACCAAAAATACCAAAGGATTAAGATCCCACTGCCCCTAACAGCCCTTCATCTCCCTGTGTGTGTAGGGGAAACTTAAGGAAACCAGCATGCTTAGTATTCCAGGGCATGTTTGGAGTGAGAGCTAAATGCAGTCATTAGCCCTGGGCAAGGTGCCAGTTCAGTCTTCACTATCCAAAGCACATGCACCTCTGCTTGCCTTAGATGTGGTGACACTTCTGTTTCAACTCTGCTTTCTCTGCAGCTCACCCCGGCAGAGAAGGGAGGCCTCTCTGACTTCAGCAGTGAGCCTGCACTCTACTTCTGATTGCTCCATCTTCTGGCCTGCAGCAGCTGCTGCTGGACAAAACCAGGCAGTGCCCGTTCCGGACACCTGCGCAAGCAGCACCGGAATGAGCCTCTGGGTCCCTTCTTCGACACGGATTGCATAGGATCCCGATGCCAAGGGTGGACTAGATGCCATGGAGCATCTTGGGAGAATATTTGCACTGGATTCTGAGACCTAACTACTGTTTTTAAGGCGTATGATTTATTCTGCCTGTGGCCTTGCATATTCCTTGTTCAAGATCAGCTGCTGATCAGACAAGCATCTGAAGAGCAATCTGTAATCCCAGGATGGATGTAGATTGTCTCAGGGCCCGAGTCCACTCGGGCAGGTACTGTATGGGGTCTGCGAGGGTTTTAAAACACTTCTTTCAGCAGAGGCCCCAGGCAAGCACAGCCCTGGAACTTGAGCATGGGGAGTTCTGGGCAGTTAGCTGTAGTCACAGAAGCGGTTGAGATTTGACAGCGGTTGTCAATTTATAAAACTACTGAAGGTTGGTTCATTCTCAGAGTGTTTCTGCATCAAGTTTCACTGAACAAACATGGAATTTATGTGCCAGTTAAGTTTGCATGAAAGCAATTGAATGCACCCTGTGGGAAGGGGAATAAATGCCTTTAGCTTTAGGTATCGTTTTTGCACTAATCTGTAAAGAAGTGTCCAGTCTGGCCTGAGCCTCTTGGACATTCCGTAACCTTGGCCATAGCTTTGATTTGTCCCTGCCCAACTCTGGCATCCAATCTCCAATAACTTTGTGCTCAGTTTCCTAGTTCCTCTGTTGCTTTGTTCTAATACCTAATGGGACTGCGTCCAAGGTAGATCTGGTTGCTGGGGAGACTTGCTTCATGCCAAGCTCTTTTAGGTCCTCTGATGGAAAGCACAGGAGGGCCATTTGACTCCTTTCTTTTGCAGAACTTGAACAAGGAATATGCTGTTTTCTAGATTTTTTTTATAGTTCTATTGTAATTGTTTAATGCAGCCAATATGCAAAGGAATATGCTAGACTCTTCCACTTAAATGTTCTACTACTGTAAACTCAGGGTCAAAATTGCACTCTGGAGAAGACTGAACACTGCTGCTAATGTGATTTGTATTTCTGAGATTAAAAGAGATGCGGTTGGAATAGATAACGGCCTCTGGGCTTTATGACATTAGTGGTGCCCCACTGTGTGGCTCTCTCCAAAGAACCAGGCTACCATCTTCGATTAGATTTAATACTTTTATTAGTTTTTCTATTATATAGAGACAAGGAATGTCTAGGCAAGCTGATGCTGGTCTCTGATATGAAAATGCTCTGCTTACACTTGTTTTGGTGAATGTTGTAGAAGCAGGAGGAACTCTCTTTTCTTCTGCTGAAACACACAGATATGGCTAAATGTTACATGTCTAGCTTTAGCTCTTTTCCCCTTCACCTGCCCTAGGTGCTCAAATATGTCTGAAAAGCATATCCCAAAAAAAAGTTACTGAACATTTTTTTTTTTTAGGTTTTGCTGGGGGATAGACAGATGAAGGGACACACACACATATCTTTTCACCTCCCTGCACTTGCTAAGACTTGTCCTTTTCAAGGTAAGCAGAGATGACGTGACCTCCCAGGAGGAGCATGAGGCTGGCAGTCTATTTGTGAAGTCACAGAACTGCAGTATGAAGAGCATGGCAGCGAGTCGCCTGTGCTAAATTCTTTCTCATGATGAAATACTTCAGGACCAAGATGCTGAGACTGGAGGACAAGGAAAAATGCAGGACCACAAGTGACTTCAGACTTAAGGGAAGAGCAAGGTATCACATATGTGGTGTTCAACACTGAGCACTGCCCACAGCCAGTAGCTGTGCACAGAGCCAGGGCAGATCAGTGTACAGGTTGTGCACAGCCTTTCTAGTAGAATGCAAACTTCTTGTATTACAGAAAAGTTCAAGCCTATTTAAGAGAGCTCCATCTCTACAGTTACAGCTTAACAAAACTGCACGTGACGAAGCAAAAGCTGCAATACAGCAAGTTAGGGATGAGCTGTCCGAACTGCTCCTGACTTTGTTCTGCTATAGCTTAATGCTGAACGGGGAAGCAACCCCCCAGGCAGGTTGTTCACCTGACCTCAACCAACTGTCAGGGTGCTGTTGCTCAGAGAAACAGCTCTGTGTGCCTGCAGCCTCTCTGGTTAGGACCAGCTCAGCAGATACTCGGAAGTGCAGAGTGCGCTTCCCAAGTGGAGCACGTGGTCCTTGGGGTACTCCTGGTTTTTCTGCTCCTTGCAGGATGCCTGCTCTCCCTCGCAGCCATGATCTGCACCTTGCTGAGTGCTGCCTTCTTCCTTCCCAGCTCTGTACTCTAATTCCTGTCCGCACCAGCTAAACTCTCAGCCTGTTCTTGGCAAGGTGAGCTGAACGCTGCCTTGGGGGAAAGCTGCACTCCAAATTCCGTAGGATGCCTATCCTGATATCTAGCACCTTGGTCTAGAGGATTAAGTTTAGCAGATTTCTAGTGACAAAGAGCAGCTGAAAGGAAAATATATTTCTGCAAGACAAAACTTTTATTAAGTGTGGCATCTTTGCACCAGAACAGCAGCTGTTCCAGACCAACAGGTCTTTCCAGACTGAAGAGCAAGTTTAGCAGTGCTTTTGTCCATCTGCTTGTTTCTCTTTTGAAGTGCTTTTCGGCTCAGTGGCTTTACTAGTATTCCCTGTTTCTCCCTTCAGGACACTTAGCAATGTCTGAGAACTCTCCAGAATCTGAGAAAGACGAAAATAAAAATAGCTAATTTTTACATAAACTAGACATTTCTCTCGTGAGTTCCCTTCGAAAGCAGTCGCTCTACCTTGGAGCATGAGGGATTCTCCAGCCCTTAGAATATTCAGCTCCTGATGATACATCATCCTATCTCAGTGCAAGAGTATCTGTGCAGGACTTTCTCTGGTTCATGCCCGTATTCGGAATACTAAATACTCTAAACGTTTTAAGTCTCTTGGAACATGAGGCAGAGAACTTCCTGAAGCAACTTCTGGATTGAACTTTAGCGTTTTTGTTGTTTTTTTTTAAGATATTTTGATACTTTTTAGATCGTATTTGTATTATACTCAGGTGATCTGATTTCAAATTTTTTTCACTGTTAAAGCTGCACACCTCAAGGTTCTTGCGTCAAGAGTAATTCAACTCCATAATCACCTAAAGCCAGACTACATGTTTCTTCTTTTGTTTTGTTTCTGTTATTTGTAGCTTATGTTAGTTATATATAATCTAACACTCCCTTTTGCTAGAAACACAGCTAAAATAGCTCTAAGAGATCTTGCTACCTGTCCATCTCACTATTTCCTGGTTTTAATGTGGTGACAACTCTAAAAAACTTGGTGGTTGTTGTAGTCCCAAGATCATTAATTGACATTCCTATGAACTTGTGGAAGTCATTGAGTGGCCAGAGAGGAGAGATGAAGCTAAGCACCCCCCAGGCGCAGACACTGATAGGACTCATTGGTGACACTGCCGGCTTGTCCATGGAAGAAGGTAGTGGTGAAGGGAATGGAGCCCTGCGGCTTACATGGGCTGGGGGAAGGCCAGGAAAGTGGTTACAGACAAGAGACCTAGATCCATAGGGAAGGAACTTTGTTACTTGTTTCTGTTCACAGGACATCTTCACTTTCTCTCCTAACTACCCTGGTTTTGTTTTTTTTTTGTTTAAACCTATTGTGACTTTGTCTTTTAATTTCAATAAACATAAATTTATTTGTAGGATGGCAGGTGTGACTTGTATCTCAGGGAAGTATTCTTTAAAAATACATGCTGTTGTTCATATAATTGACAGAATGTATGTCAGTGTATGACAGAAAGGGTAAGTTTTTTCTTTTTTTAATATATGAGAGTTTGTCCACTTTCACCTCAAACCATCATTTATTGAAGTTGGCAAAGGAAGGAGCTTCAGCTTTATCTGAACAACAGTCATCGCTGAAAAGGCTGCCTGGAAAGTGCTCGCTTTGGAAAAACACAGATTTGGTGCCTGGAATAGTAGTTACTTGTAGGGACAACAACTCATGCCCAGAGTCCAAAAGACAAATGGAAAAAGAAGGATTTAGGCAGTAGCTGAAGGGGGGAAAGGCTCATCTTGGACCAAACCTGTTCATGGTTACCAAATCAACGCCAGAGAAGCATCCATCAAACCACCATGTATCATGGATTTGTTGTTACCTGATTGAACGTAGGCTCTTTGCGGACACTTTCTTTCCTCTGGCTTCCTCCTGTACTTTTCCCACCTGAATGATGAGGTTAATGAAATGGAGCTTTCTTTTTTCCCGGGGTCATAGTGACCACGTTGGTGTTGCTCGACAACACAGTGCGACTTTAGCTCCAGTTTTCCCCTTTCTAGTCCAAACAGTAGTTGCTGCAACCACTTTCATCAGAAGTTACCTGTCCCAGGGCACTGTCTGCAGCTCGGCCGGACGCGCTCCCGGTGCACCGGCGTGGCGCTGCTTGCCCCGTGCAGCGGGGAGCGGAGCCGACCCTAAACCCAACCGCGATGGCCGCAGCAACACAGTGCGACTTTAGCTCCAGTTTTCCCCTTTCTAGTCCAAACAGTAGTTGCTGCAACCACTTTCATCAGAAGTTACCTGTCCCAGGGCACTGTCTGCAGCTCGGCCGGACGCGCTCCCGGTGCACCGGCGTGGCGCTGCTTGCCCCGTGCAGCGGGGAGCGGAGCCGACCCTAAACCCAACCGCGATGGCCGCAGCGGGAGGCAGCCGGGCACCCCCGGCCCCCCTGCGAGCCCCTCGGGGACGTCCAGCGGGAACGTCCAGCAGTGCCGTCCCC